ATTCAAAACCACAATTTGATTCTTAAAAATAATCAATTCTTCTTTATCCATATGGGAGACAGAGAAGACAATTGGTAACTCTTTGGTTACTGATTTAAACATATTAACTATATAAAATAAATGTACACTATTGGCTATGTGATTATATTTAAAATTCTATTAAGAGCATTGTAGACATTTTTAAAATGTTCTTACCTAAAGTATAAAGCATTACAAAGAACACTTGGCAAGATTGATGGGAACAAGTTGGCCATGTGCTGGGTAAAATGGAATTTATTAAACTGCTATTTGTTTTCAACTTTTTCGTAATTAGAAAATAAGAAGTCTTGGGTCTCAAATGCCATAATGGAATAACTATGCCATAGGTGTGCTAAACACTATAATGGCTACCCATCGTGGGCAGTGTTTGGTGGAGCTCCCAGATTGATTCAAGTCTGGAAGCAGAAGTGGCATCCACTTCCTAAACCACATGCCTCTGGAAACTCTATGAACTCAGAGAAACAACAATAGTTATAGAGAGGCTTCAGGCATTTTGTTCATATATATATAGATCTCCCTTGTATTTAAAAGTCAGTTGGGCCCGAAGGTCTAGTGTTGTTTTATTTTGGAAAAACATTCTTTTAAGTTGTACAGCACTCCTCTGTCAATTTGCTACATTAAGGTAACCTGGGTTTACTGTGATGCTGAACTTTGTGCCATTGAGGGGTCAAATACCATAATGGCGGCCCATAGAGGACAGTGTTTGGTGGAGCACCCGGTTTAAGACAGATTTGGAAGCAGAAGTGGCATCCACTTCCTAAACCATATGCCCCTGAAAACTCTATGAACTTGGAGAAACGATGATAGTTATAGAAAGGTCTCTATGAATCGTGCTCGACTTGATGACAATCAACAACAAAATAGAAGTAATCAAATGAGTAACTATCCTTTCATTAGGAAAACAGCCAACATCACACCTCTCCTCCCTTTTTTCTGGAGCTTTGTGGTGGCTTTCGCCATCTTGGTTTTTCTCCTTGGCCTCTGTCTCTTAACTCTGCTCCTTGTGCTCTGGGCCTGTCATCTCCATTATATTCAGACACTCCTGGGCCAGGGCTATGGCCCTGTTATCCCTAGCAACTTTATTCTGACTGCATGTACACCCCTGGGCTCATCCTTTCTTGTTAGCAGCATTGGGGTTCAGGTCCTGCTTCTTACCCACATGTTGTGCTTCTTGAGGGGTGTGGGAGGCAGCTCAGGAACTGAACTCCCGTGGTTGAGACAATCTTGAGGCACACAAACACAGCACCGAGTCTCCACAGGGAAGTCCAGACCTTTCTCCAAATTTCTGTTCTTCCAACTTGTTTTCTCTGATAACTAAACTAAAATATGCACATTAGAAATTACTCTGGAAAAGCAGAAAGATGTGAGGAAGCTGTGAAAAATCATGTACCATCCACCTGTGTTCTCCAAATGCTATCTTCCTCTTTGTGTGTGGATACACACACTCACATTCAGAATGATAATAATGGGATGTTGCCCTGTCATTTAGTAATCTCTTATTTGTCAGGTTCTGGAACTCTGGTGGCCTAATCAGTGGGGAGTTGGTGCTGCTAACATGAAGGTGGTCCCTCTCGGACAGTTCAAATCTGCCAGAAGCTCCTTGGAAGAAAGATAGACAGTCTCTTCCCATGCAACTTGTAGCTTCTGAAAACCCAGTGGAGGGTCAGCTTTGAGTTGTTTCAGACTTTTTTTCTACTGGAAAGGAGTTCCTGTAAGTAGAAACAGTTGTTGCTCTAGACTATTAGTGGAAAGAAAGGTGAATTTACACCCCAAGATTCCTGAAAATCCAGCCACATATAGCCTGGTGAAACAGTGTCCACTGCGATACACACAGGGTCATCGTGAGGGTCTCCTCTGACATATGCAGGCTATCAGATTCTTGTGTGTGACAAGAGACTTTCCTGGGAGCCTAAAGTCAGCACAGAGCCATAGCCTGCCAAGGCCCTTGTCATTAAAAGTCCTAGCTGCCTCCTTCTGTCTGCCTACAGCCAGTCATCATCACATCCAAATTTGTTAGTGCATAATGTAACTTGGTCACACTTGACCTTGAGTGAAGTCCCTCCTCCTAGATCTCTTGGCTTCCACCCAATCATGTGACTGCTGACTATTCCACCTTTAGCATCGTCCATGCCTTGTAACATTGTCACATGGCCTCTTCCTTTTAAACTTCCAGTGACTCTCAAAGCTCTGTAACTTGGTCATGGGACTGCTTCCTCTTCCATCTCCAGTGACTGTCTACACTGTGTAACATATTCACATGGCTCACAGGATTCCCTCTGCTTGCCACTCTTCCTAGGACCCCTCAAGCATGTCATACAGCCCCCTTCCTGTAGGAGACCAGGTCCTTGTGGCATATGCTGCAGTCAGCACTGAGAAACCAGCTGCCATGGAATTATTTTGCTTCATGGTGCCCATATGTATCACAGTAAGATTCTTCCACCAAGTTTTCAGAGACTGGTTTGGATATAGGCAAACCAACTAGGCATTCCTTCTGAAGCACCTCTGGACAGACGACCTTCATCCTTTTAGTGAAAGCTGAGTTTATGACGATGTGCATCACCTACCTAGTCAGTACTTGTCTGCCAAGCCTGTGTGCTTTGCTGCTGCAGATAGCGTTGTCTGTTTCTCCTTTGTAGTAGCTTATGTTGAACCAGAAATGGTCTTTAAGGGAACATTTTAGATTGCACACTGTCCTGTGATTAGAAACAAGAGTCAGAAACCTTGAACATGGTTAGAATTCCTTTCCATGTGCTTGTGTGGATGTGTGGAAAGTGAATGCTAGCCTCTCTCCATGTCCCCACCCCCTAGGCCAGCCACCCCAATGCCCACGATGGAGGATGGCCATGAGCTGGACCTGACGTACATCACGGAGCGCGTCATCGCAGTCTCCTTTCCTGCCAACAACTCCGAGGAGTCCTACCTCCATAGCCTGCAGGAGGTCACGCGCATGCTCAAGTCCAAGCACGGTGACAACTACCTGGTGAGTGGAAGGCCTGTGAGCATGGTGGGACAGGGCAGTGCGGGGGACACTGCACATGCATTATTAGGGTTTAGGATCTGTGGCACTAAAGGCCCCATGTGGCTGCACAGCACACTGTGGAAGGCAGGCCCTCAGTAGTCCTTGGTTCACAGAGGAAGCACTGGTTGTCCCCTCTTGTCCATCCTGCTTCCTTGGGTATTCTGTAGCAAGCACAGTCACTACCCCAGTCCTTCATGTGCACGGCCGTTGGCAGCCAGCTCAGGCAACTTTTCTATCACCTAGAGACCTTGCCACAGCCCACACTCTGGCAGGTGGACCTAGCATCCCTGGGATCAGGAATGAAGTTTGACACTCTTCTTGAGATATAAAATTAAGACGCTAAACGCATGGATGCCCAGGACACAAATACAGAATTGGTTTTCAAAGCTCATGTATGAAAGTTGGCAGGAGAAGCCCAAATGGGAAAGAAAGGAATGAGGCTGCCCCCATTCTCCCTGCCGAGTATCACCTCCCTCCATTCTTCTTGCCCAACACCTTTCATTTTCTCTTCCTGAGACCCCACTTCTCCCTCCCTGACATCCCTTATTCTCTGTGCCTGAGAGGCCTTCCTCATTCTCCCTTCCTGACACACCACATTCTTTATCCCTGAGAGGTCTTCGCCACTCTCCCTGCCCAACACCCTCATTTTCTATCCCTGAGAAGCCTATCCCACTCTCCTGCCTTCCCCACTCTCCCTGCCTGACACCCCTCTTTCTCTATCCCTGAGAAAGCTTCTGCTTCTCTCCTTGCCCAGCACTTATCTGTCCATGAGAGGTCACTCCCTGTTCTCTTTACCTTACACCCCTTATTTGTATCCCTGAGAGGCCTCCCCCATTCTCCATGTCTGACACCCTCCTTCTTGGTCCCCACACCCCATAGAAATAGTGCCTGCATATTCATCTTTCTTCTTCTATAAGGAACATTCCCTGTGGCCAGGTGCAGCTCTGAGGGTTTCCTGTAGCCTATGAGGCCTTTGCACTGAGTGAGTAAGGATGCCTTGTCCTCAGGATTCCTGCTCTGCACATGGATGAACACAGGCTCTGAGAGCTGAGCTTTGGTGACCAAACAGGGAGGGACTGGCCGCAAAGTGTGTCCTAGTCTTGTCTGCACAGGTCCTTAGGTAACCTTCTGTGTAGATGCAGTTATGGCTCCTCAGAGCTCAAGAGTGCACAGAGACCCATTTCTCCTGCACCTGGTTTTGAGCCCTAGCTGTGGGTGGGTCCTGTCTATCAGTCACATGACTGGTACAGGCTTCTCCCTGTATTCCGGGGCAAAATTCCTTGTCCAAAACCCTTCTTAAGTCTCCTGCAGTCTCAGCATCCCCCATGCTTCTTTAAAGAGACCATGGTAGATCTTCAGTAAAGTTCCAATGTATTCTGCTGCTTGAACATTTTTTTTCTTTGCCTTACTTGCATTTTTATACACTTCCTGCAAATATCTTCTCTTTTCCAATGACGTTTGACTATGGCTGTTGGTTGGTTATAGATATTAGGATCCTTGCTGGTACTCCCTGGATATGGTCCTGCCTGCACCCTGGAACACAGAGACCTAAAGTGCTCAAGAGGTTAATGTAGCTACTGACCTCAAGGTTGGGGGTTCAAGAACATCCAGAAATACCATGGAAGAAAGGCATGGTGATCTTAACTCTGCCAATTATTGCTGTGGAGCTCAGTTCCATCCTTATGCACAAGGAACACTATGCTTGGCCAGTCAATGTGATGGCCACCGGTGTGTATACAGAGCCCTCTGCATATCTCACCTCTTCTCCTGAGCAAGCTTATGTGTGCTAGGTTCAAGGCAAGTCCTGAAGCATTTGGTGTGCCATCTTTATTCTATTTCATTTTCTATTCTGTGACCCAGCTTGCATCTGTGCATTTTAATAGTCTTATAATTCTTAGTAAGTCAAAGACAAACAGAATGAATTAGAAAAGTGCACTTTCCCCCCCTTTTGATCTCTGAGGATAATGACTGCTTAAAAGATTTTTCTTTTCACTTTGTAGGTATTAAATCTTTCTGAAAAGAGATATGACCTTACAAAGCTTAACCCAAAGGTAAGAGTTTTATCATTTGATGTTTTGAGTTTCATAAGATGTGGACTGTGCTTATGTGGTAATATAAAAATAGTTTGTTGCTTTTAAATTATTCTCTCCCTCATCTGTTTCAATGAAGTATACATAATTTATCCTTTTTTTCTCTGTCTTACCCCAAAAGCGATATATGATAGGATATTATAGTTATCACAAGAGTCCAGAATTAAGGGTGCATAGTGGAGTGTGCCTGGGGTGGTGGGAGGGGTGTGGGGGGATTGTATACCAAAGAAAGAATTTTTCTTTTAATTTTTCAAAGAGAGGAGCAAACTGGGGGAGTGGGAGTGGAGGGGAATGCTGGACAGGGGGAAAAGTGCAACAATGAATGAATGAAAATCCAAAATCTCTGTAAATGTTCATTAAAACTATTAAAATAAAATATTTTTTAAAAAGAAATGAAAAACAAACAATAGTTATTGAACTTAATAGTTGAAAAGGATCTGAATGTGGAAGTAAAGGAAAGAATAAATAGATATTTAATTGGGTTTACTTAAAAAAAAGTTTGTTGCAAATCTTTGGGGAATGATTTGATAGTAACTGTTAGAAATTGTTCATATACATTTCTTCAGTTTTTTAAATTTGAAATGTTTTTATTTAATTATGGCTTTACAAGAATTTGCAATGATAGTACAGAGAACTGTCAACTCACTCAATTTCTCTTATGAAGACAAATAGAGTTGTGTTTTATACAACTAATCACAGAACACTTACACCATTAAATTGGCAATGATGCAATCCACAGACCTCATTCACATTTTACTAGTTTTACATGAACTAGTATGTATGTATGTGTGTATGTGTGTGCATGCCTGTGTGTATGTGTGTATATGGATATGTGCATTTGTATATGTATGTCTCTATATGTGTGCATTTATATATGAATGTGTACATTTTTGTGTGAACACTAGTGGCCCACTAGGTCATGCATCGGGCTGCTAGATGAAAGATCATGTGTGTGAATCCACAGCTGCTCCTCAGCAGAAAGGTGAAGCGGTTCCATAAATATTTCCAGCCTTGGAAACCCTACTGAGGGACAAGGAGTTCTGCTGTCTCCTATAGGATTTCTATAAGTTAGAGCTGACTCAGAAGCAGGAGTGTATATGTGTGAGTGTATAGGGAACTATCTACCATTTCACATATGTATAGACAAATGTCTCACCAACAATGTGAAGATAGACTTTCTAGCATCCTGTACCTTGTTCTGTAGTAACAGCTGCTCCTTCCCACTAGTAGTATTTCCAGCAACAGTTATTTGGGAATATTTCTAAAGATGCAAATACATGCATACATTAAACTATTTTTACCAATTAGAACTTAAACAGTGTATTGTCTCTTTAAATACTAGTTCACATAAGCAGAATGAAGGGTTTCTATATAATATTGTCATAACTATGTTAAATACACATAGGAAAAGAGTCACCAGAATGCTGTTCCAGTAAAGCTCTGTTGCTCCTCGTCCCTTAAAAAAAGAAATAAAAGAAAGAAAAGTGAAATCCAAGTTGACTGTAGTAGGTATTAGAACTGGACACATTATTTCTGGTTGCTGAGAATTACTATACATTAAATGTACTATACTGTACATTACTATACATTTAATGTACTATACTGTACATTAAAAACCCAGTGTTGTTGACTCTAACTCACAGCAACTCACTATGGTGTTTCCAGGCTGTAAATCTTTACAGGAGAATATTATCCACCTTTTCTCCCACAGAGCAGGCCGCAGACTTGAACTGCCGACCCTTCAATTAGCAGCCTGATATGTTATACACTAGGACACCAAGACTCCTTGATGCCCAGACCAAATATCACAGGGTTATGATTTTCTTTGTTAATGCACCAAATTATACTAGGAATTTGAAGGAGCTTTGTCTTCCACATAGTTGTCTCTTTGGAGGAACTTTGCTGTCTCCCAAGGATGTGCTATAGTGCCGTGTTTCTAAGATGTTATCTCACAGAGTGTGGGGGAACAGCTGGCTACAGTTTCTCAAACTGAGATTTTAGCTTGAACAGAGGAATTTTGGCAGCAGCTTGGGCCAAGAATTTCTGTTTCAGGTCCTGCCAGATCTCAGCCCCACCCATGTAACTTTGCACCATTTTAGAAAAGGCCTATCTGGAATTGTTTTACCTGCACAGGTATAGATCTTTGGAGAGGTGTCTCACTTGGGCAACATAATACTTAAACGTCTTTCTTTCTAGTAAACACTTTTTGTTAGGTTTCAGAAAAGAAGCTTGCAGCATCCTTCTTTACTACAAAATGAAACACCCTGGCATAAATATCTATTTGAGATGGTTTCAGAGAGTGGAATCTCATTGCAGACACTGGACGTGGGCTGGCCGGACCTGCATGCACCACCCCTGGACAAGATGTGCACCATATGTAAAGCCCAGGAGTCCTGGCTCAACAGCGACCCCCAGCACGTGGTCGTCATCCACTGCCGGGTGAGCAGGTGGGGGGGGGGCGTGCCTCGTGGTCGTGCTGGCATGGATGGAAGGTCAATGCTGGCCACCTGCCTCTGTTTATGGGCCCTGAATCTACTCTCACTTTTCATGTGTGACTTCTCCATATGTATTTGAGGTTAGGTTTCATAATTGTCCTTAAAGAAGAACCTTGAACCTCTCAGGGGATGACTTTAGTTTCTACAACTGAGAACCCTGACTGGTCATTTTAAACTAATGGATGATGCAACCAAGAGTTAACTTCTTCTTTCCTCCTTCCTCCCTTCCTTTTTTCTTATTTCTTTTCTTCTTTAACCTTGGAAAGACCCTTTTAAAAGGAAAGAAAGCAAAGATCGACTTTTTATTTTATTTTATTTTTTTCAATAATTTTAATGACCATTTACAGAGAATTTGGATTTCCATTCATTCATTGCTGCATTTCTCTCCCCTCCCAGCCCTCTCCCCCCGTCCCCCAGTTCGCTCCTCTCTTTCAAAAGTAAAAGAAAGACTCCCTCCCTGGTACACAATCCCCCCGCACCCCTCCCAAGTACATTCCACTATGCAACCTTAATTGTGGACTCTTGTGATAAT